TGGTGCTCTTTGTCTGCACCTCCAACGGATCCTCAGCCAGCCTTCTGGCTCCTCGGCCCTCTCCTCCACTGGCCTTGCCTCCAGGGGAAACCAGCATGTGCCCTTTTGCTAACTGGGATAGGGAGGGCGCTGAGCCTCCACTCACGGCATCGTGCCCTATACATCCTGCTTTTTTCATGACATCTTTTCCTTATTATAAGTCTGGCATGTTGGATGCATTTGCTTGCTGGCTTTTAACTGACAAGACCAGAAAGCAAGGGGACGACAGCCATGCACAGTCCCGCCACTGCTGCAGGTTTGGGCGTGTTGCCTTCCAGTCTTTCTTTTCTTCAGCACACACAACTGAAAATACAGTTCATTTGGTTTTGTTTGAACATATTTGTGACTTTCAGGTTTTCGCTTAGAGCCCAGAGTCAAGGAGTGTCTAGTCAAGGCTTTTCAGCCCACCTGCTGATCTTGCAATATGATAAGGTGATGAGGCATATGTGTTTCTTATCATTAGTGTCAGCAATTTTATGTTTCTGCCATTCTACTCTTTTTTTTATGAGTAGAATGTAATAAGTATCCAAATAGTTGCACGAGCCCCACTATTTAGACAGGGATAAAGTCACTGACAAGGAGCTCAGTGCCGTGGGGGGTGGCTGAGAGTGTTCACTCGTGAGCTGACATAAGAAAGTCTGGGTTTGGACTTGGGAAAGCCAGCATTCGAAAGTGCAGCCTATACGAGGCATAATCTTGGACTTCAAGAGCTTAGTTGGGGCCACAAAACTACATAGGGAGTAATTCAGCAGTCAACTATATGCAGTTGATTCTAAATGCAAAAGGAATTTAGAGAATAAGGGTTATTTGCAGTGGTCCTCTAACATGTTTGCAGTGTATATATGTTTAATACTGTTCAAACATGTTTAGGAAGGCATATGCTCTGTAGCTCTTCCAATTCTGGTGTAATTTGCTTTTCCTTTACATCATACAATGAGAATTTTCCTAGTTATTAAAAACTCATTGAAAACTTGAGTTTGAATGACTGCCCAACAGCCCATCTTTGGGATGCCATAAAAATATTTACTCAATGAACTCATTGGATTTCAAGCTGTTTCCATGTCATCTGGAACACTTTGTTGCGTTAATTTGTCCCCATTCTGCCCTGTCTTAGCTGAGGGCTCCCCAAGAGTGAAACCTTAGTTTGCCCTTAGCACCCGCAGCCCAGCACCTGACATGGCCCAGGCCCTCTGAGGATTGCTAAGAGTGGACACCTGGCAAAAGGTGTCCCCAGCTGAGGCTCAGGAAACCACAAGACCAGTAAAATGGCTGCCTCGGTCCAAAGGCAGTGCAGAGGCAGTGAAGAGGTGGGCCCTTCTTTACGGCAACCTGGGCAGCTGAGCCAAGGCTTGGCATGGTGCCACTGGGCGCCAGCGCCCACAGCTTTGCCAACCACTAGGATTGCATGACACAGTGTTCCGCTTCTCCTCTGGTCTTGGCATTCCACAGACTGCAGGAGAGTTACCTACTTCCTTTTTTTTTTTTTTTCTTTCTAAGCATAAAGCTCTGCACTGCTGCCCCCAGACCCTAGGATGAAGCCCCTCGGCTCCCAGCTTCCTCTGCCCCTTGGAGTAGCATTAGCTTTGAGGCCTTGAGGCCTCTGCCCTGCCAGGTGCAACCACCAGGCCCGTCCCAGGGCAGGGAAGCAGTGTCCTAGTCACCCGGATGCCAAGCCCATTTCCCTGAACCCTGGTGTCTGTTCCACTCCTGCCGGAATCCAAATCTGTGTAGTGGAAAATGTGCTCTTGTGTTCTACACACAATAGGCCCTCGCTGCTGTCTCCTGGCAGACTGTCCAGCTGGTGGTCCCTCTGCTCATGGAGCTCCTCTGTCCTCCTTCTTGCCTCCCTCCCTATTCTCTTGTCTTTAAACATCTTCCATTGGTTCAGGTTGTCCCCACCTTGCCATCAAAACTTAACCTTGCCTGTGTCCCGTTTCTCAGAAGCCCACCTCTCACTCTGTTTAAGCTCATCCACTCATGTGAGCTACAGGGCGGACATGGGCTCCTGCTCTGTTCCACACACTGTCTTAGGTGCTGTAAATATTCACAAGGATGAAGCATTGTTGTCGCCTTCTGGAAGCTCTGAGTCTGGTGGGTAAGTCAGACAAAAACAGAACGACATTCCCGACAATGGTCACTACAGTCAGCATGTACACCAGAGCTAGGGGACACAGGGCAGTGTGAGGACTGAATGCATCAGGAAGGCTCCACCAAACAGGTAACACTTGACCTGAGTCTTGAAGGATGATCAAGGGTTTGCCAGGTGGCGAGGGTGGGAAAAGAATCCCAAACAGAGTGAATGGCATCAGCTAAGACCTGACGGAGGGTGGCAGGTTGAGTGGGATGAAGACTCAGACAGTGATGCCAGAAAAGATACACGCTAGACATCAGGCTGGGGAGTTGGAAGTGATCTTCCACCAGTAGCAGGCAAGGGCCTGGCATGGTGCCACAGGGAAAGAATGGATCGGAGGGGGCAGGCTACAGCCGTGATCTGGGAGTGTCCAGGCACTGGCGGGCAGTTCTGTGCATCTTCTACCCTTCCACCTTCACCTACAGGGGTGAAGCATCACAGAGGTGAGCACTGGGGGTCTCAGCTCACATGTGTGCTGCTGCCCAGTTCACCTTTGAGTCAGACTGGCTGCCTGCTTCTTCTCACTAGGGAAACTCCCAAGGACACAACTTTATTGGGTAGACACAGGTGCGGTGCTTCAAACGCTCACTCCACGGGGCCAGAACATTTGTGTGTGTGATGCAAGGCACCAGGAGAGTGAGTCAACCATGGAGAGGTCAGTAGCTGCCCAAGAAAGCAAAGCAAAGGGCCTAGGCAGCCTCCGAGAATAGCTCTCCAACTCATAGGGGAGGCCGCTCTGGACATTCCAAGTCCTCGGGTAGTGACAGTGATGGGCACAGAGTTTTGCAACTTGGAAAGAGTCACATGAAAGTTTGTCATCCTTGTTATTGTGATAACAGCTGTCCCCTCTCCTCTGGCCATGACAGTTGGGCCGCCCAGGACAGAGCGGAATGGCGAGCCTCACTGCCCTCCCTGTGAGGGCCCACACTCAGCTGGGGGGAGGGGGGCACAGCTCACCTTCAGTCCGTTTCTCAGCAACCCCTTTGTCCTGGGAATGCACCCTGCTTGCCTGGATTGGGTTTGCAACCCCCTGGCCAGGAGAATGGAAAATGCCCACATCCCTGAGTGCCCATCTCTTAGAGCAGCACCACTCGGCTGCTCTCGGCAGTCCTGTGTTGTCTCCCTTCTTTCATCATCAAGAGCCTGTTGTGTTCTTGCCACATCCCCAGGTCTGGGGTGCAAGACACCCTGCCACTCACTGATGCTGGGAGGGCAACCGAGATGGGAAGTGTCACAAGTTCCTGTGAAGGAGCGACTTAGCACAGCGGCCACACACAAGGCCGTAGAACTCGTCTGACCTGGTCTACACCCCAGCTCCTTCACTCACAGAACCAGCCCTGTGACCTCGCGCGAGGTCTTTAATCTCTCTGAGTCTCTTATCTCCATCTGTAAAATGGGGACATGGCCTGTGATCAGGGACCAGCAAGATTGTACATGTAAAGCAAGTCGCCTGTGAGCTGGCACAAGCAAGAGCCTCTGACTGCTGATTCCCCTCATCATCCTTGACGTTATTTTTCATAGTTTTCTAACTGATGGGTCCCTCCTAGAAGTAAGGAGCCCTGGCTTTGCAGCTGGCCCCACCATTCACGAGCAGTTCTGCACCTGCCTGGCTAATCCCCTATCCACTTCCAAAATTAGCAGGTTGGACAAGACTTGGGTCCCATTGCTTGGGTCTCATGATCTCAGAGTGGCCTGTGAGGCAACTGAAATTGTTCCCAAGACCTGTTTCCCTGTGCCCTTCTTGGAGGGTCCTGAGCCTCCATCAGATACTTGACGGTGTGTGGTGCCTGGAGGTCAAGATCTGAGCCAAGCTTGTTTGGTGACCGCAGCCATGGCTCAGTCCATGAGGACTGGGTCAGTAGAGGCAAGTGGCAGAATTTAACTCAGCAGTGCAGGAGCCTCTGATCTCTGAGGCAGCTTTTCCCAATTAGGGCAAAGGACCAGCCACATGCTCAAACATTTTAACATTGAGATTGCCCAGGGCCAGGATCATTTTGCAGTGGATGGCTGTTTCCCACTCAGACAGTCAGGTCTGATCCCACCAGCCACAATCCATAGGTCTGTTCTTCCTGCATGTAACAACTGTGGTGGCCGAAACAGGCCCACAGCCCCTTCCCTGCTACAATGACATTTTCTCCTCACACCCCTGTGATGTGGGTGCTGTTGTGACCAAGGCCTAGAAAAGACAAGCACCCCCGGGCCACTGTCTCCTCTGTCTCCACCATGTCATCCCCACACGTGTCTGCAGCTCACTTGGCTCCACAGCACAGCCATTGTCACCCCCACCCATGTCATTGGTTCCCTCCATGGTGGGCTCTCACAACAAGGGACGAAGAAAGCTGAGCCTTTCACATCGCCCTCAGCCCTGCCCCAGCAGTGCGGGGGAGGACCGAGCAGGGCACAGGGCTTCCCCTCTTGAGGCAGGAAGTGGTGGGAGAGGTGTAAAAACGTCCAGAGTGGAAAACAAGCCCAGAGCAGTGATGCAAACGCTCTGCAGGCCCTCCCGCGGCCCTGCCCCCCGCGCCCGCCCCTTCCCTGCAGCGGGCCAGCTCTAGGACTGATGCCTCTCCCTCTCCTGCATCCACAGGCTTCTGGGATTCCTCGCTGAACCCCCCACGGAGAGGTGGCCACCCTGCAGAGCCCCCAAGAGACCCGGCCCCCGGATCCCCCCCAGCCTCCAGCCTCAGGTCTGCTGCCCATTACACAAACTGCTCCTGCGAGATCGTGTTGTCGGTAGGAAATGACCGCCTGTGGTTTGTGAATCCCGTCTTCATCGAGGACTGTGGCCGCGCCCTGCCCTCCGACCAGCCGCCTCCTGGAAGCTGCCCCCCGCGCCCGCTGCCTGCCACCTCTGCCGCTACCTCGCCCACCTCCAGGTGGGCCCCGCGCCGCCCACCGCCCCCTCCGCCAGCGGCGCCCCTCCAGCCCTCTGGCCCAGCCCAGCCTCCTGTGCCCCCTGCTCCTGCCCCTGCCTGTCCTCTGCCCAGTTGTCCCCCGGTGTCTGCCCCCCACCTCACACCTCATGCCCCGGGTCCCCCAGACCCTCCAAGCCAGCCCCCCATGACAGCCTGCGAGAGGCTCCCACACCCTGCCACAGGCCTGGGCCCCCTCAGGGAGGAAGAGATGAAGCCAGAGGCAGTCCCCAGCCCCCCGCAGCAGGCCCCTGTCCCTCCGTTACCTGTGAAGAAGAGCCTTCCAGCTGCTCCTCCCAGACGACGCATCTCTGAGAAGCCATCCCTAGAGGACCAAGGTGCGGGAATGGCGGCAGAGGGGGACCAGCCAGCTCTTTCCAGGACAACCCTACTCAGCCTGCCTCCCCAGGTGGCCTCAGACAGCCCTGGGGACAAGCCTAAAGGGACCACGGAGCAAGGCCAGAAAGCAGAGGCGAAAGCCAGCCATCCGGGCGGCCTGCCAGAGCCTCCGAGGAAGACCAAACAACCCCCCGTCCCGCCCCCCAGGAAGAAAAGGATCTCGCGGCAGCTGGCTTCGGTCCTCCCTCGTCCCTTGGAGAGCGCTGAGCTCTCCACACAGGCGGTAGCCTCTGAGACACCCACGCCTGGTCCACCCCGACAAGGCCAAAGTCCTGCCTCCCAAGAGGGGACTGTGCGCCTCCAGGCCCAGGCCAGTGCCCACCCTCAGAGCTCTCCAGAGTTCAAGGGCTCCCTGGCCTCCCTCTCAGACGGCTTGGGAGTGCCCACCTTGGCCCCGGACCAGGACTCCTACTCAACCAGCAGCACAGAGGAGGAGATGGAGCAGTTCAGCAGCCCCAGTGTGAAGAAGAAGCCCTCGATGATCCTGGACAAGGCGCGGCACCGGCTGAGCTTTGTGAGCTTCAGCAGCGTCTTCCGCGCCTTCCTTTCCAACGACCGCAAGCTGTTCAAGAAGGTGGTGGAGCTGGCGCAGGACAAGGCCTCGTACTTCGGCAGCCTGGTGCAGGACTACAAGGTGTACAGCCTGGAGATGATGGCACGCCAGACCTCCAGCACCGAGATGCTGCAGGAGATCCGCACCATGATGACCCAGCTCAAGAGCTACCTGCTGCAGAGCACCGAGCTCAAGACCCTGGTGGACCCCAGCCTGCACTCCGAGGAGGAGCTTGGTCAGTGCTGGGCAGGGGCGGGCGTGGGTGGAAGGGAGGCCATTGGCACCCCACAGCCAATTACTCCCTGCCATGGGGGGAACAAGACTGGCCCCCTCATCTTAAGGCAGGACCACCGCATGGTACAGGTTATGCTACAGGGGCCCCCGGGGAGCAGGCTGAGGCTGAGACCTCACTCTTGCTCAAGTCCTTCCTCATTTCATCCTGTTTTCCTCACTCCTTTCTCCTGAGAGCTCTGCCCCAATATATCAAGTGCACCCAATTCCCTCTCTCAGACTCTGCTCCTAGGGAACCAACCCAAGACAGCTCACTGCTCTGATCACCCCTTCTAAAGTAGCCTCCCAGCCATCCCCCATCCCCACCAGCCTCTCATCAATAACTATCATACATTTTTGGATGGTGATTCACAGTAAGAAAGATATTTTATGTTGTGATCAATTGCACACCTATGTGTATATTCAAGATATTCAGTCAGATCACACTGCTATGGCCACAGCAGTTGTTAAAACATCGAGCTGCTTCTGAACTAGTTGGTAAAGAGTCACCGCACCAGCCCTCCAAGAACCACCTCCCCTGGCATCCCCTAGCCTGTCTTCCCCCTTCCAACAATTAAAGGGTCAATGCTGGACACAGTAAAGGGCATTTGGGACCCTGAAGCATACTAGATGCATAGTGAATGTATCTTGAAAAAGAGCTTAATGTGTTAACTTTCCCAGGGCTATTTGATCTTGGTAGCTGACTCCTGGAAGCTGGTGTTTGCCAGGTATAGGATTGATGGCAGCTTCTCAGGTGTGGTGATGGTGGTGGAATTGAGATCTGGGACCAGCAGCTGCCTCCTCAGGAGGCCAGCACCGTATGTGCACCTGCACAGGGCCCCTGGGGGTGGAGGGGGCGTGCAAGCAGGAAGCTCAGGGGCTGCCGGGACCTGGGCAGCATGAGCTAGGCCCACCAATGGCAGCCCGAGAGTTAGTGCCCAAACCGGGATGCTGAGTCACAGTGACACAGACTCTGTCCCCACACAGCTGATTATCTAGGGAGGGAGTGGGCCACATAAGCAGGTAGTCAACAGAGAGTCATTGGACCCCCACCTCTGGGTCAGACACCATCTTGGTGCTGGGGAAAAAGAGGTGAGGCTCTGCCCTTGGGCAGCTTCCATTCTAGTGGGGTGAGTAAGGTGACAGATGAGTGAAAGGGAAGGTGGCAAGAAGTGAGGTCAGGAGGCAGCTGGGGAGGCAGGTTGTGCAGGGCCTTGTGGGCCTCTCTGAGGACTTGGCTTTCCCTGGGAGAGGCCGTGGCAGGGTCAAGCCCAACAGTGACGTGATCTCACCTACATAAGAACAGCATCGCTTTGGCCAAGACACTGAGCAGGAGCAGCGTGGCAGGTATGGAGTCTGCTGGAATGATCAAGAAAAGCCACGACGGTGGCTGGGAGCGGGTGGAGGCAGGGCAGGTGGAGAGGTGAGGTCGGCTGCTGCACCTGCTGTGAAGGTGGAGCCCCAGGACTGGCTAACAGGCTGGATGTGGAGGTGAGAGAGAGAAAGCAGGATGAGAACAGCAGGGTTAGCCCTGGAAGGACGCAGCCGCCACTCCCAGAGGAAGGCGCTAGGGAGGAGTTCAGGAGCTTGGTTTTGGACGTGTGATCTTGCGGGCACTGGTGGACACTCAGGTGGCAATGTCTAGCAGGCTGTTAAGATTCAAGTCTAGGGGCCGGCCCGGTGGCGCACTGCGCTAGTGCGCTGCTTGGGAAGTGCGGCGGCGCTCCCGCCGAGGGTTCGGATCCCACATACAGACCGGTTCCCGCTCACTGGCTGAGCGAGGCGCGGGGGCAATGCCGAGGGTTGCGATCCCGTTGCCGGTCCCGGTCCGGTACGGGGGCAACACTGAGGGTCGCGATCCGTTGCCGGACATGGAAAAAAGACAAAAAAAAAGAAAAGATTCAAGTCTGCAGTTCTGGGGAGATGGGTGAGCTAAAGATAGACATTTGCAAACCATCAGCACAAAAAGAGTCATGAGACTGCATGAGATCATCCCGGGTCCGAGGGCTGAGCCCGAGCACCGTGCAGCCTGGGAGGGCGTAGAAGGGCATGGGAGGGCACGGAAGAGCATGAAAGGCTCAAAGTGACCCAGAGGAGGCAGGGATAGGGTGGCTGCTGAGCTGAGCCACCAAGGGTGGGGAGGGCTGAAACTGCAGGAATGACAGAGAAGGGCTCCCCAGAGGGGAGGACTGAAGTCAGCATCAACAGTAACAGCACCATTCCTGACACCGCACATGTCGGCCTCCGCACCATGAACTAAACCCATAGGCCTGGGTTACTGTCGTTCCCAAGAAACCACGGCTCAGAGAGGTTCAGTGACCCAGCTGAATGACAGCTGGTGGCAGTGCTGGGCTGCAGACCCGGACAGGCCGACCCTTTCCATGAACTAATGCTCTGTTGTTCTGTCTCTTCCTTCTAAGCTCTGCCCATGTGCAGGATAGACAGCAGAACCCACCCTCTTAGCAGACAAGTCACAGGAGCAATTAGAGATGGAACGGTCCTAACACGTGTGGCTGTGAAGGGCCAGAGTCTGGAGAGGAGGCGCCTGGAGGAGCTCTGGTGGCTCTCAGACATGAAGGGACTCTGGAGGGCATGGATGCAGCCCTCTCATTTTGCAGATGGGGAAACAGGCCTTGGAAGGGGAGGGGACTTGGCCAAGGCCGGGGGCAGCAGGGAAGCACAAGTCCTTGCCCCCAGCTCAATGCTCCTCTAGCTGCAGAGGATCCAAAGGCAATGGAATGAAGATGTGGGCCTGGAAGGATGGACAGGAGAGGGATGAGGGGTACGAGGCCAGCCATGTGCTCTCCTGCTGAAGGGGAAGAGGGAGGTGGCAGGACGGGGACCCAGGACGGCCAAGATTGGCCCCAAATCCAGACATGGGCCAACCCCAGCCTTGCATGGCAGGGCAGGGCTGTCTGAGCCTCTGCTGAGACACAACCATGGGAGTATGAGCCCCTCCCGCCTCTCCCCAGGGATAGGGCAGCTCAGGTGTCTCCCTATAGTGACAGGACTTAGGACCTCCCCTTACTGGGCCAATAGCCAAGCCTCTTCCTGTGGAGATTATGTAGGGCCCAGGTGTTAGCCAAAGCAGCTGAATGTCACCTTGGCATCAAGTAGACATGAGTTCAAATTCTTGTTCAGCCCACAGCCCACCCCATCAGAGTCTAATTGGTCCATGTTTAGAGTGGAGATAATAGCATGTATGTTGCAGAGTTCTTGTGAGATCAAATCTGTGACTCCCGCTCCACAAGATAATCAGGACTGCCTCTCAGATGAGATGACATTTGAGTAGTGAAGAAGCAAGCCACATGGATAGCTGTGAGGTGACTGCTCCAGGCAAAGGAATAGCAGATGCAAAGGCCCTGTGGCAGGAGCAGCCCTGGCAGGTTGGGGTCAGCATGAGCATGGGGGAGCAAGCCAAGTGATGAGTAAGAGGTTGCAGGGCCAGATCACAGCCGAGCCTTGTAGGCCACAGCGAAGAATGGGGATTTGATTTGATCTAACATAAGATGGGAGCCATTGCAGGTTTTTGGATGGAAGAATGTTCTGGTCAAACATGTCATAACAGGATAACACTGGTTGCTGGGTTGGGAATGGAATATAAGGGCCAGGGCAAGGAGCTACTGACAAAACCCAGGCAAGAGATGACGATGGTAACCTGACCAAACAGGGTCAGGGTAGGAGTCATGGAAGTGGTGAGAAGTCAGGTTCTGGATATACTGTATTTTCAAGGCTAGAGTCAGGTGGATTTGGAAATTGAAAGAGAGACATCAAGAATAATTCTACCCATCGTTTACTAGGCCCTCAGGCCCTCAGCCTACAGCTGCCCAGGTTGTACACGGCACAACTCCAGTGTGAACAGTGCCCTCTGAAGTTGTGTGCTGGTAGGCAGCCCTGTGAGAGTTTACTCTGTGCCAGGCCCTGTGAAAAGCATTAGGATACAGTGACCTGTTAGTATTAGTCCCTGGAGGGTCCTGCGCCAGTGTCCTTGCATGTGGCTTTCTGTTGAATGTACTACACTTTCTCACATGTCAGAACCACAAGGTATCGCTGCTGGGGCTGTGAGTATACCCGCTTCTGAGGACCAGGAGGTGGGGACAGCTGTGGTGTTGGACAACAGGGCCAGGTGGCAGGATCCCTGCTGCTGGTTTCCTTATCCTCGCCCTCTTGCTCACCTACAGAAGCAATTGTAGAGTCTGCCTTGTACAAATGTGTCCTGAAGCCCCTGAAAGAAGCCATCAACTCCTGCCTGCATGAGATCCACAGCAAGGATGGCTCATTGCAGCAGCTCAAGGAGAACCAGCTGGTGATCCTGGCCACCACCACCACCGACCTGGGTGTGACCACCAGTGTACCAGAAGTACCCGTCATGGAGAAGATCCTGCAGAAGTTCACCAGCATGCACAAGGCCTACTCACCTGAAAAGAAGATCTCCATCCTGCTCAAGACCTGCAAGCTCATCTATGACTCCATGGCCCTCGGCAACCCAGGTAAGTGGGCAGCCGGGAGGGGCCTGGGCTAGGAGCCTTCTACAGGAACCAAGGTATCATTGGGTCTGTATCCCCTCTCCCACAAGGATTCCAGAGCCTCTGGAAGGCCCCTGGCACTGGAGAAGCCTTTCCAGATTCACGGGCCCCTTGGGGAGTGACTGGTCATGGATGGGATTCCTGGGCACATCCCAGGACTTAGCTGGGACCATGAGGAGGGCCATGATTGACTGCCCCACTGGAGAAAGGCACGGAAGCCAGCCATACTGTGCCTTTGTGAGAATTAGGAAAAGGTGCTCTATTTGTTTTCTAGGACTGTTGAAACACAATATTCCAAGCTGGGTGGCTTAAGCAACAGAAATGTATTGTCTCATAGTTCTGGAGGCTACAAGTTCAAGGTGTCAGCAGGGCTGTGCTCCCTCTGAGGGCACTAGGGAGGGATCTGTTTCAGGTCTCCCTCCCAGCTTCTGGTAGGTCCTTGATTTGTGGAAGCAGGACTCAGATCCTCACATGTATGCTCTTTGTGTGCATGTCTGCATCCAAATTTCCCCTTTTTATAAGGTCACCAGTTATATTAGCTTAGGGGCCCACTCTACTCCAGTATGACCTCATCTTAGCAAATTATATCAGCAAGGATCCTATTTCCAAATAAGGTCACATTCTGAGAGACTGAGGATTAGGACTTCAACATATGACTTTTGAAAGGGACAAAATTCAACTCCTCATAGCTGCCTTAAAGAGTTTGCACTGATTTATGACTTACGAGTGCACGGTCAGTCAGGCAGGGATGCTGGTCTGGGTCAGGCATGCCTTAGCCTGTCTGGGCTTGCTCACGGGTCTGTGGTCAGAGGTGAGTTGGTTGGAGGCTGGCTGGTCTAGGATGGCCTTGCTCATATGCTGGGTGGTTGACTAGATGTTCGCTGCTCTAGGATGGGGGGTACTGAACCCTGAGTTTCTCATCCTCCAGCAGGTTAGCACAGGCATATGCCCATGGCAGTAGCTGGGGTCTTAGAGAGCAAGCAAAGCCTGCAAGCCCCGTTGAGGCCTGGCCCTGAACCAGCACAACATCACTCTGACACATTTCATTGACTTGTTTAGTCACAAGACCAGTCCAGATGCCGGGGTCGAGGAACATGTCCCCTCTTGATGGGAAGAGCTGCAAAGTCACATTGAAGGGGTGCGGATGCAGGGAAGGAATCGCTGGGACCATTTATAATTGATGCTCCTCCAGGCAGACAAGAGCAGGCATCACTGCACCACGGTGCTCACCTTAAAGAACAGAATGCTGGCTGGATTTCATCCCCTAGTCCCCCCTTCAGCTGGATGCCCTTGTGCAGTGAGCGGCCTGTGTATCTGTACATGGCAGCCATGGTAATGGAGAGTGGAAGGATAGTCACCTCTGTAGCCACCTAGACCTGAGTTCAAATTCCTGTCTGTCACTTACTACCTGTGTAAATTTGAATGACTGACTTAACCCCTTAAGGCCCATTGTCTTCACCTGAGGAAGCTGCTTCACAGAGAGGGGAAACTAAGACCCCTGATGGTTCAGAATCCATACTCTGTCACTTGTGAATATTAGAAACAGCATTTGTAAAATGTTGACCTCAATGCGCAGCACCTAGCAGGCTCAACATGCGTGGCTATTTTAGGAGAGCGATTCTCTCCAGGTTCCTTCAGAAGAGCTGGCCAGTTTGGCCAGAGGCCAACAGAAAGTAGTTGTTGCTGTGTAATTGAGGGATGGTTCTGGGTCCCCTCCCCTTGATAAAGCTTCCCTCACAGACTTGGTACAGGCTACAATTTGGGGTTGGGGTCACTTTTTTTGTGTAAAACCCACATTTGTTGGAATGAATAGTGTTCCCCCAAAGCAGATGCCACACTGAGTTAGAACTACACGTTTAACTTGATCATAATGCTGGAAAGGTGATTGGAAAAAAGAGCCTTGTTGCAGAAACAGGATGTAGTGAAATGTTTGTTTTCACAGCATGGACATTAGACTTGGAGCTCAGGTGTCCTGTGCAGTCTGGAGCCCAGAGGACAGGCCCACGATGTTAGCACCACACCTGAGCAACCTCCTAAAATAAATCCCCAAAGAAGTAAGATGGGGGGCAGCAAGCAGCCTGCAGAACCCAGAGCTGTCAACGAGCTTGATATGGTCAGTCCTAGAGGTATGGAACCCTGGGAAAGTGTCCCCATACCTAGCAGCAGCAACATGGAACTGAGGTTGAGACCCGACCATGACCCTGCCAAGGACTGGCCAGGAATAAGCCAGGAGCCTTCTCAGACCTTCTCAGAGTGAGGCAGTCCTAGATCTGCAGCAGCTGGAGGTGGGAGACAGGCAGGCTCAGGGGAGACCTGCATGGTGTGCAGGGGGAGCAGCAGTAAAACTAGATCAAGCTGGAAAGGCGACCGGAGACAGAGTCCTCGTAGCACCCTGTGCTGGCAGCAGCCTCAGACAGGCTGGCTCTGGGACCTTGAAGGAACAGGGAGGAACAAGTTCCAGGTTTTCTTCCCAGCTCTGCCCCTTCTCGGCTGTGTGACTTCAGATTACTTAGGGGCTCAGCCTCAGTTTCCTCCTGTGTTAAATGGGTACAACCATGCCACCTTGTGGGGTTGTCTTGAGGTTTAGATGAGTCTGATTTGCATATTACCCAGTGGCCGGCACTTAATAACTATAGTTATTTCCTTCCCTGGCTGAATTTCTAGTTAGGGGAACCATTTGCACCTGGGACTTGCTGGGCTGTGGGGTAAAATCAGGGCCGAGGGCTCTACAGACCCTGAGACATTTACAGAGACAGCTTTAGGCTGGCAACGGGCAATTCCATTCTGAGCGAGTCCTGGCTTACCCAGGAACCTGTGGCTTCCTGGCATTCTTTTAAAAACCCAGTCATTTTGCAGTGACATTCAAGCACCATGATTTTTTTTTAATTGACAAATAAAGTTGTATGGGTTTACCATGTACAGCATGATGGTTTGAAGTATATATGAGTTGTGGAATGACTACATCTAGCTAATTAATATATGCACCACCTCACTTAGTCACCATTTTTGTGGTGAGAATCAAACACCATGATTTTTGCTAACAATGAATTTGCTAACTAAAAATTTCCAATGAGCAGGACTCGAGGAGAAACAGAGGGGAAATCAAGGCAGTTGCTAGCACGGGGGGCCTGGGCACGGCATTTGGAAGGACGGAGCAGAACCAGGGCACTTATAGTGCCCAGCCTCATGGGAGAGATGGGGGAGGCTGGGATGTCTCTGCTGATCAGAAGCCAGGCCCAGGCAGGGATACCCTGAGCCACGATGTCAGGTCAGGGTCAAGGTTCCATGTGAAAACTCCCTGCCAGAAACCAATGGGTTTCTCATCAGGGAACAATCTGTGTGCTCCTCCCACCGCTGGATGAGTTTCATCCCAGTTCCATTTCTGCTCTAGCAGGCCAGGGCTTCTGCACTTGGAGCCTCTGCAACTTCACCTGGGATGGAGCAGGTTCCGCCAGGGAGAGCAGGGGATCTTGGGTTTGTCCACAGTCATGGGTTTGAACCCCAGCTGCAGTGCTGTAGCCTCAGACATTAATTCCACTGAGCCTCTGCCTGTGTATAAAGTGGGCTTCTCAAGTTGCCATGCAGGGGGTGGGTCAGCACACGGAAAGCACCTGGGCAGCGTCTGCCCAGAAAGTTACTTCCCAAGCCTCGGTTTTCTCACTCATAACATGGGGCTAGGGATGCCTCTCTCAGGGCTGTTGTGAGGATCAGAATCGGTGTGCGGGTGCTCAGATGTCAGGATGCAGGAAAAGCTGCCTCCCTACCACATTCCCAGAAAGGTGGAGGCTGAACCCACTGAGTGGTTTCCCAGCTGGTTTCCACGAGGCACCCCAGAGGTCACCAAAGGGACACAAGACAGGCTAGGCTCCAGGCCAGCCTCACCCCAGACAACCCAGCCTGTACCTGTTTTACCCACAGGGTTCCACATGGGATTTTGTTTGAAATAAACAGTTCTGCTGCTGTTTTTCTTAAACCTTTAATTTGGAAATAATTGCAAATTTCAAAATCTCCAAGAATAAAAATAGGACATTGAAAGAGGGACACCTGCATACCTTGTGTGGATTGTTAACGTCTTACCCCCCTCGATTTATCATTACGTACTCGCTCTCTCTCTCTGTCTCTCTCTTTCTCTCTCTCTCACTCTGTCTCTCTGCATCCATTTTTTTTTCCCTGAATCATACAAGAGTAACTTACATACAACTGGGCCTTTTGCCACTAAATACTTTGCTAAGTATTTTATGGAATGTATGTAAGTTTGTAGGGTACACAACCCTTATATAACCACAGTAGAGTTTGTCCATTTCATAAATTTATATTGACACAATGTTTTTATCTAACCTGCCATCTAAACTTCCAGGTTGTCGCTGGATCTAGTAAGGTCTTTTTTAGTATTTCCCCCTTCAGTTCAGGATCCAGTAAAGGGCCAGGTAGTGTATTTAGTTGTCAAGCGTCTTTAACCTCCTTTAATTTGAAATATTCCCATGGCCTTTCTTTGTCCTTTATGATATTGATATTTTTGAGGAATACTAGTTTTCTTCCCTACCCCCACCTTTTTTGTATGTTCCTCATTTTGTGTTTGTCAGATGTTTCCTCATGATTAGATTGAGGTTTTGCATTTTCAGTCAGATCCCAAATGATTCTTATTTTTTGTCTTTAATTGACACATATTAATTGCACATATTTATGGGTTACATTGTGACATTTTGATATATATGGACATTGTGTAATGATCAAATCATGACTTTTTTTTTTTTTTTTTAAGATGACCGGTAAGGGGATCTGAACCCTTGACTTGGTGTTGTCAGCACCACGCTCACCCAGTGAGCAAACCGGCCATCCCTATATGGGATCCGAACCCATGGCCTTGGTGTTAGCACCACACTCTCCTGAGTGAGCCATGGGCCGGCCCCAAATCATGACTTTTAAATTCTCTTGGGACTTTGAGAGTTTAGGACTAGGCCCCA